GATCTCCGCTCTGCCCGTTCATCACTGGCAGGACCCTGGGAGCGAAACCCCTCCGAGAGCCCAGGGAGCTGGGGTGCACCCTGGGGACCCCCTTACCTTTTCAAGCCGCTGGCCAGGGAGAGGCAGAGCATGGCAAGGAGGAGGCGGCTCTTCATGTCGGCGGCAGCGCTGGCCTCGGCTGGGCTCTGCGGGTGCAGGCAGCGCCGCGGCGTTGCTCTTATACCAACAGGTACACCCTCACCCCAGTGTACCGGTGCCCGCGATAACGCCTCCTTCAATGTCAACACAGGGCTTTGGCAGTGGAAATGAATCACTGCCACGTCCCAGGCGAGGCAGAGCACACACACCGGGGTCAAGTTTGTTTTTGTGGGCGAGGGGCTGGCGGCGGCAGAGCAGGGCGGTGTGTGGGGACCTGCCGGGCGCTGGGCAGGGGGCTCTGTCGGCCGCTTTTGGGGGCAGCGAAGGTCCCGCAACGGGAGCAGGATGGGGTCTCCATCCCGGTGCCAGCCCCTTTGCCACTGGAAATCGCACGGCCCGGCTGAGCGGGTGGAAGCCCCCCAAGTGCTCTGGGGGAGCATTTGCCCTTTCCTTCCCCCCCAAGGACCTGCCCGTGGCCGTGGGGCACCCCACACCCCGACAGCTGCAGAGGGGGTGCGGGAAAGGGATGTGTTCTTAGCATCTGCCGAGCAGACTTTAAAAGGCAAAGACTAATTAGCAGTGATGAACTGCTCAGGAATCTGCAGCTTCCCCTTCGAAGCAGCAGTCAGTGCCATCACAGCACGGTCGGGATGAAGCGGCTTTGCACGGTAGAGTTACATGTTGCCTTACAGCCACTAATGGCCTTCTCCCCAGTGGCTGATTTTTGTTTAACACAGGATGGCCGTCTCATTAAACCTCTGTGAATGCAAATAAAAAATGCTAATGACCAAATAAAGCCTTCAGATACGGAGGGGAGGCGAGTGGGGGGAGGCGAGGATTTTCTTGCTGCCGCCATCTCTCCGACACGGGACTGAAGGCTCGTGGTGCTGCTGGGTCATCCTTCGGGTGGTTTTCCGTGTGGATGCACAATGATAACTGGGATGGGTGCCCCAAAGGGAGCTGTTCTACCCAGCGAGCATTGTTCCTGTAATTAAAGGGGTTTCTACCCTTAGCACTGTGCTGATCAATTTTCCATTTATCCCGGTTAGTCTATTTTACCTAATTAAAGCCCTCGCCTGTGTGGCACAGGCACCGGCGGGGCCGTGAGCCCAACGTGGCCTCGTGCAGCCCCGGCTGGTGGGGAATGGCCTGAGAAGGGGCCGAATCCTGTCCTCTCGGGGGGTCCTGTGTCTCCATCCCTGGGAGGTGCCGCCAGGCTCCTCCTCTCCCTGTCTTCGCATGGAGCTTAAGCTGAAAGAAATCTTATCGAAGGTTTCTTTGGTGTGAACGTGGAGACGTGGGGCACAGCAGAGCCGACGCTGACGGCAGATGCAGCCGGTTTTTTCCAAGTCAAACGCAAACTCCCTGCGTTCCCCATCCCCAGGTTGGTGGCTGCAGCATTTTTTACTGAGTAGCTTTTAGAAAAGGTTATTATCTATTTCCCTTTTTAAGATGCAGTTTAATGTACCAGCCTCCCTTCTTGTCTTAACCATGTATTCATAGAAGGGTTTAAAAAAAACAAACTTCCTAAAACAAAAGCCATTGCAGCAAGTGCCGGATCAGCTGAAAGCAGCAAGTCGATTGCTACGGACATGGTTTATAACGCGAAAATCCTGTAAGAAAAACCCAGCCTGAAGGGTCTTTGGGCTTCTGAGATAAACGTGAGTGTGAGCTGTACTACAGACAAGTTGAATACTTTAAGCGAAATAGTTTATTTAGCGGAAAAGATCCCCAATTGGATCATAATAATCTGCAAACTCGTGACAGTAGATTCAGCATTAAAATATGAAGATGAAAGAAATAAAGAGGCCAAACCTTTCGTTTAGAAAATTTCAAAGTTAAGCAAATCTATTTCTACTTTTATTTAGTTATTTTAAAAGTAATTTTAAAACCTAAACTCTTAAAGGTAAATCAATTTTTTTTTTTCAAGTCGGACACAATGGTTTGTTTTTTTCTTTCTTTTGGGAGCCAATGCAAGACTCGGCCGTATTCGTCCAGAAAATTGGGGGAAAAAAGGCTTTCTTTCAGACATGCTTTCGGTTCAGTGTTTGAAATGCACTGGAGGTGGGAGAGCGGCACCGTTCTCCCTCGCGGTGCCCCTCACCTCCGCGGGGGTCCCTGCCCGCGCCCGGGGCACCCGGAGCCTTCACGGCACCTCCTGGGGTGGCGGAGAGAGCCCAGGCTGACGGAGCCAGACATGCGGAATTATTGATAACGCGGCGGGCCTTTGAATCCATCTTGTTAATAAAACAGCAGAAAAAGCGCTTACGTTCGGTGGAAATGTAATGAAACCTGACTGCCAGCTACTGGAACGTCCCAGGTCTTCTAAGGAATACGTGGCTCACATCTAGTGCTGTGCTGCCTCCAGGCAGTAGCCGTGATAAAGTGTCTCTTGCCCCGGCCAGCTTTACAGACTCGCCCTCAGAAACGTTAGAAATAGGTTCTGCACCTTGTATGGAAAACGTGCCTCTCGCCGGTTCGGTGCACGGCGCTTTACTCATTTTAAGAAACCTGCTTTCAGGCTAGAAGTATGTTATCTGTGTTCTTTTTTTATATTTCCTTTAGTTTAGCCACTTCCACGATTAGCTCTGACTGATTCAAATCACACCCAAATAGCATTTTCTGAAAAGCCTTTTTTCTCTGTTTATCAAATACTTCTTCCACCTGTTAATCTGTTTGTACATCACTGAGCACTTGAAAGAGCGAAACCCTGCAATAGCAAACACTCACTTTAAGAAAAAAAATAAAAACAAGCAAGCTTCAGTTAAATATTTACCCGTAGCACAGAAGCTGTGGGTAAAGCAGGACTAAAGTCCCCCCGTGATGGAGCTGATGGACGGCGTGGTCCCCACGGTCCCAGGGGATGGGGGGGAAATGTGGGCAGCGATTGACCCATGGTGGGGACTTGGCATGGGACCCCAACTCACGATGCAGCTCCTGGGGGTGAACCCCAACGGCGCCTGGCAGCGGGGGGTACGTGGTGCTTTTCAGGAGCCGGTCTTCTCTTTGCCTGTAGAAAGTCTGGGGGGATTCACTGAGATGCTAGGATGCCATCTGCCCCAGGAGAGGATTGCTGTGGGAGTGGGGGAGCTGTGTAAATGCCAGCAGGCACCATCCCCATGAGTCAGGGACCCCACGAGAAGGGAGGTCCCTCGCTCCCTGCCCATCTCCTGCCAAGGAAGAAGCACATGGGAGCTCGGGCTGCTCCAGGGCATCTCCAGCACCAAAACGCTGTCTCAGCGTGAGAGCTCCAAAAGCAGTTCCCACGAAGCAGTGGCCCAGCGCTCCCCAAATCTGCTGCGAACCGACGAGAGTGGGTCTGCCAGTCTGCCCTTTGTACCCCGCTGTTATTAAGTGATGCCACAAGTCACTACTGGCTGGAAAATTCTTCCAGAAAGTGTGCAGGTGGAGGCCCACTCACCCCCAGCAGATGCTGAGCCATGCCAGGCTCTGGGACCAGGTCCCTTACGATTTAAAGTGTTCTACCCCTATACAAGACTTTTGCTTGGAAGCACCCAGAGCACTTTTTGGGTGGCAGCTGAATTGGTGGGGGCTGAGCCAGCTGCACTGCTGCTGGGCAGAGCCCTCGGGGGCCGCTTTGCTCCAGCGAAGCTCAGCTGCATTTTGGCACGAAGCTGCTGGAAGATGGAGCAAGAGGGAGAACTGCCCAGGGAGGTGAAGCATCCCCAGCCCCAGAGAAGACGAGGCCACGGAGCAGCAGAGAAACACCCAAATGTATTTAAATGAGCTGGCTGACAGAGGGGAAGCGTCATGGAACCTCGTGTGGGCTCGTTCCTGCCATCGCCATGGGGGTAGAGCGAGACCACATCCGGCACCGCGCTGGCGAGCGCTTCTGCTGCTGGACCCTGGCGGCTGCGCGGCCACCGAAAATGCTGCCGAAACGTCCTTAACTCCGGCTCCCTCCAAGGCCCCGGCTGCCCCGGTCCTGCGGGAAAGGGAAGGTGCGGAAAGCTCTGGTCCTGCAGGTAAACCACCGTTGGATGTTGCACGCCACCGGCCGTTGCGCGCGATGCCTCGGGAAGCGGAGGGGTTGTACATCAGGGCGAGAGCTGGGTTTGGTGTCCGCATCCGAGGGACGCCTGCAGATGTGCATCACTGCCAGCCTGAGCTTCACCCTTAACCTGGGGCAGCAAGGCCTGACTCAAATGGGATTAAAGTAACCGGAGGCATTCAACTTGCTTACCTTTCGATTGAGCGTAGGCATCTTGCATTCACCACCGGGTAACCAGCCAGGCAGGAGCTCTTTACAAGCCTTGATTTCAATAGGGCATCTTGCTAGAGAAAGGGTTAATATCCTGGGGGGCCGGAGGGAGGGAGGCTCACAGCGAGTTACCTGATACACCAAAAAAGTACATGTGCTGCCAGCATCTTATTAGCTGTTATCTTCAAAACAGATATTTCAATGCGCATATGCATATCATCTCTTCAATCTCGCCGTACCCCATCTCAGCAAAGAAGCTGCCTGCTGCTGATATTTGGATTTGGGTCTTATTTTGCAATTTCCTTTTGAACAGCTCATTTTTCAGATTGCTATCTGCAGCAGCAGCGTCTCCTGCCCCACAGTAGGAAAGAAGCCATTTAAGAATGTCAGCCATTTGAGAAGGATACTTGGGGACAGATCAGTCCCATAAGGGAGGGGGAATATTCCCGCAAGAAATGGACTTTTAGCTTGGCAATTGCCAAACTGTTTGGGTAAGTGGAATTTCACAGGAGATTGGTGAGGTTATCAGGAAAGCTTTTGGTGAATTGCTCTTAGAAATGTGTCATAGAGGAAATTATAGAATCTGATCCATAGGATGGATAATGCCTTTGCTCTAACTGTCAATCTGTCTATCAGTCTATCAATCATATTATTATGGCTTCTTTAATCATGGTATCAAAGCTTTAGTTGAAGATACCTCCCCATGTTAACCATTTATAGACAGTAAGTCCATAGGCATTGCATGACAATTTAAAGTGGTTTTTTTGCAAGTGAAAGCTCACAAAATGAATGCCC